AATCATACATAATTGCCTAATTTCTTGGCATGAGTTTTTTGCTTGTGGTGTATGTATCTTACTCTTTTTCTTTCTTACTAATTCATGATGTTCATTTATAAATGCTTGTAAAACTAATAATTTCTAAAATATACAGTGTGCTTTCAACTGTTCTGAACATGCCAGTTTCTGACTCCAAGAAACAGAGAGTTTTAGTTGCATCTTGTGTTCTCTATTCCGAGGTTAGTTCTGTTTGAATTGGCTTAATTTGGTATAGAAATGATTAGCACTAGCCAAGTTCTGTGGTTAATTCTCATGTCTTATTTATTTAACATTGGCACCATAATAGAAAATTTTATTTCTTCTTCTTCCCAACATTATTTGTAGTTGTCATTATTGTTGATCAATGCTTCTGTGGTGACCTTTGAATGAGATGCATGATGCAGGTGTGGCATGCTGTTGGGAGGGACAGAAAGCCACTTCGAAAACAGTATCTTGAAGCCATTTTACCACCATTTATTGCTGTTTTAAGGAGGTGGCGGCCACTTTTGGCAGGAATTTATGAACTTGCCACTGCCGATGGTTTGAATCCCCTTAATGTTGATGATCCTGCACTGGCTGCTGATGCACTGCCTTTAGAGGTTGCCAAGCACTTTCTATCATTCTTAGCTCTTCTTTTTCTTTCTGCTTTTCCTTCATCATTCTTTGCTTTTAAAGTGTAGAGCTGCGAATGAGCTGAGCTGAGCCCAACTGTGGCAAGTTTGAGCTTGACTCAATTAAATTTTTTAGTATTGGAGCACCACTTGAAGCTTGATAACTTTATGGAGCTTGTTATCAAGCCTAAATTATTATAACTTTAATTATAATAACGTAAATTTATTTATTTGTTATTACTAAAAATTATATTATTAATTTACCAAATCAAGCTGGCTCATTGGCTCTCTAACCAGTCCTCCCCAAGCTCGAGATTAAAAAGTTAAACAAGCCAGAATTAAGGATCTAGCTGGAGCTTGATATTAAGCTCAAGTGGAGCCTAAAGGAACTCAATTCCATACTGCTTGGTTCATTTTCAGCCCTAATAAACTGTCAGCTTTATCATTCCTTACATCGGCAGCGCTAATTTTCCATCTTTTAATTCATTCTTTTAAGGAGTTTCATTGAGTTTCAGTATTTCTTCTGTTTTTGGAAGGTCTCTTTTCCGTCATTTAAGCCACTCCATTCATGTTTCTTTCAGGCAGCTCTTGCAATGATCTCTCCAGCTTGGGCTGCTTCTTTTGCATCACCACCAGCTGCAATGGCATTGGCAATGATTGCTGCTGGTGCTTCTGGTGGAGAAACACCTCCTCCTCCAACTACTGGACACCTTAGGCGCGACTCCTCACTCCTTGAACGGAAAACTACGAAGCTGCATACGTTTTCAAGCTTTCAAAAACCTCTGGAGGTGCCTAACAAATCACCTGTTCTTCCAAGAGACAAGGCTGCTGCAAAAGCTGCTGCCTTGGCTGCTGCACGTGATCTTGAACGCAATGCAAAAATTGGTTCAGGAAGAGGTCTCGGCGCTGTTGCAATGGCCACATCTGCTCAAAGGAGGAATGCTAGTGATATGGAGCGTGTGAAGAGATGGAATAATTCTGAAGCCATGGGAGTTGCCTGGTTGGAATGTCTGCAACCAGTTGATACAAAATCTGTTTATGGGAAAGATTTTAACGCTCTATCCTACAAATTTATAGCTGTTCTTGTTGCAAGTTTTGCTTTAGCAAGAAATATTCAAAGATCAGAGGTTTGAAGGACTCTAGCCCTTATTATTACTATTTCTGATTTAGGTCTAAACAATATTTTCTCAATTTTTCATTTTCCTCTCCAGATTGATAGGCGCACACAAGTTGATCTAATTTCACGGCATCATTTATGCACTGGAATTCATTCATGGCGCAAACTTATTCATTGCTTGATAGAGATGCAATGCCTTTTTGGGCCAATTGGACATGAATTAGCCAACCCTGCACGTGTATGTTTTGAGATACCCTTTTCTTTCCTATTCTGGCTAAGGTGTAAAATTGTTATAATCATTCAGTTATATTAGTATCTAATAAGGAAATAAACAATACATACATAAATAAATGTTGACTTACTATTTATATTTTGCACCTTATCTGGGATGTGTAGATTTTCTGGAAGCTGGATTTAATGGAAACTTCTTCGAGGATGAGACCATATTTGAAAAGGAATTACATAGGGACTGATCATCTTGCTGATGTTGCTGATTATGAGGATCAAAATCAGATGAAAAAGAATAAAGAGGCTGTGATAAGTCCATCTAATGCTCATGCTCTGGCAGCAGAAACAATTTCAATGGATGTGGTACATGAAGATGATGAACAGCCAGAAATTGATGATGAGAATGGCAGAGCCCATGAAAGTGAAAAAGGTGGGGGAGATGAGCCAAGGTTGTCTGAAGCAACTGAGCAAACCCTTAAGGCAGCATCAGCAGAAACCAGTGAGTCTCAGTTGGCTAGTGACCAAGACTTGCTACAAAGTTCTTCGGCAGTTGCACCTGGATATGTTCCTAGTGAACTTGACGAGAGAATTGTTCTTGAACTTCCTTCATCAATGGTTCGGCCACCGAGGGTTATACAAGGAACATTTCAAGTAAGTTCTTTTAGTTGCATCATGAAATATTAACATTATCTGCAGTAATTTCTGCCCTTTTTTGATTTCTTGTTCATTTGTTGACTATATCTGTCAAACTTTTAAAAAAGATGCACTGTAGAGCTAAAATAAGTTTCTTCTCTCCTCATTATTAGAATCTTCTGTGGTGTTTTTTCTTTAAGTGGGAGAACATATTCTGTATAAACAATGATATGCCCTAGATAGTGGACTACAGATGAGCCTGATAATATTTGAAAGTTTCAGGGGGGAATACAGTTGAATGGAGTTGACTGATTCTGGTAGAATCTCCAGGAAATTAAGTGAGTTTTATGGGATTGAATGTTTTAGATTAGGTGACTGTCAAACAAGGACTGACAGAGGATAGTGGTAGCTAGGGATATGCCTCATTCTGATGGGGAGGCCACATGATTTGTGAAAGCCCATTATAGAGCTTTATGACAATTGAGGTAATGAAAAAGTGAGAAATGGTGGAATTTGCAGGAGAACTAGTTCCACAAGAAGTTGTATTCAGCCATTCATTTGGACTCTCCAAGGGAAATCAAGAAGGGTGGATCCCTTGGGAGGAAAATAGCCCATAAGATTCTCTCAGGAAATTTCCTGTGACTATGTAATACATCCATGCTAACCAACTTAGCTGAATTCCTTTCACCAAGCTAAATTATTCTAAGTTCATCCTTTTACAACTCTTCTAGCTTTGTCTTGCTCCCAATCCTGAGAGGAGTTTTGAAGCTGAGAACTTCAACATGTATCATATTATGTTATCCACCTCTGGTATCTGCCTTACTGAGAGTGCTGCCATGAATCATCATGCTCTTTAGGTATCCTTAGAGGTTGTGAAACATTGAAGGGGATTTTCTACATGGCTTCCATCCAAAGCTAAATTCATCTTCTGTTTATTTGCCCTCCAAAATAAATGCTGCTGCTAACTTCCCTATAGATATGTAAAAAAAAATATATTGGAAGCTTGACACTGTTTTATGTTTTTGGAAACGTGACACTGGAAACCATATTGATTATTTAGTGGGACCTATTTTGGAAATGCATATGTGAATTTATTTTGTGTTTTATTCCAGGTAATGTCAAGGAGAATAAACTTTATTGTTGAGAACTCTGAAAACATGTTGAATGGTTTAGAAGGAAATTCTGAACGGGGAAATGATGAAAAAAATCGTAGTTGGTTGACGACTTCCCTTCATCAAATTTACAGCAGAAGGTGAAGTTACAGAAAATTCTGTTGGTTTTTACATTCATTTCTTTCACAGTAGCTTTTGGATGATTTGTGGGTTTCTGTTTCAGTTATTGGTTGTGATTTACTTATTCTTCTTTAGTTCCAAGCAGGTACATTAGTTGTGATTGCCAAACATGATGCGTCCTGAAATTTTTTACCAGCATTGATCTAATATTAGTGCATGCTGACAAACATACATTTATATAAATATTAACCAATAAAAGAAGTTCTTGAGCTAGAATATGGAAATAAGAAAGGAGATGGTTCCAAAGACTATAGCTTCATGGGCTTTTGAGGAACAATATTCCTGATTTGGAGTGGTTAGTGGGTTTCATTTCTGCATATTTTTGCTCTTGTTAATGACCAGAAAATGTGGTGCAGTTTTCATTCCATGACCTCTTTATTGTCTATTATATCTCCCTCTGGATGTTTCCTGGATATTCTAGACTTGAAAGAGAATATCTCAGGCCCCAGCTGGTACTGCAAAAGTTGGAATTGACCTGTAGAATGAATTCAAGTTGATCTGGGCACTTGTCATCATCTAATTGTCTATATGCTTATTGTTTATTATGGTAATATTACCTGGATTGCTACTTGTGATACATTCTGCCTAGTAAGATGCAACAGGCCATTTTTCCTGACTGCCTCTGAATAGATTCTGGTTTTCGTAAGTTCATTATTCTTCTGCCTTTACAGCTGTTCTTCATGACTGAATTTGCTCTTATATTTCTCTTAGATACCTCCTAAGAAGAAGTGCCTTGGAACTGTTTATGGTTGACCGTTCTAATTTCTTCTTTGATTTTGGGGTATGCTCCATTCTTACTAAGCTGATTATTATTATTCCTTTCCAATTGTCAAAAATAGATGTATTTTCATGGTTTCTGGCCTATTATATTGGTCTCTTGTTTGAGTTGTTTTCTTTTTCTTTAATAAAAAATTAAATAAAACATTCCAGAGTACTGAGGGTCAAAGAAATGCATATCGGGCAATTGTTCATGCATGGCCTTCTCATCTGAGCAATATTTATCTTGCCACTCAGGTTTGCACTTTGCCTTAAGGTTCTTTTTTCCTTAGGCCAAACTCACACAAACACACATGTCCACCTGATGAATCCACTTTATGAATATTTTATGTCCACAAAAGCTTGGGTGTGTCACTGACAAATCCAAGAAGTTAGGTGTATTTGGCAGTTCATGACAATCTTACTTTGTATGTATTTTATTTATGAAATTATGATGCCATATTTCTTTGACAGTCCAGAACTTACATAATTGTTTTTTTCTCTTATAGAGACCTGAACAGCTTTTAAAAAGAACTCAGCTAATGGAGCGCTGGTCCAGATGGGAGGTATGCCAAGAACAGAATTTTCATATAACCTCTTCCATTAACAGTTATGTAGTTTCCATAAAGTTCACATCTGTTTTCCTTATATGGTCCCTAAAGTTTCATAAATAGTAAAGCCGCATAATTCACTGATGGAGCTAAAACCTTTTGGCAGATCAGCAATTTTGAATATTTAATGCAGCTGAATACAATGGCTGGGCGAAGCTATAATGACATAACTCAGGTAATTCTTTGTGAGATTCACTGTGCATCTAAATGGGCCAATGTCATGCATGTATGACTCGGTTATTTTTTCAGTTTCTATTTAAATTAATTTTTCCATGCAGTATCCAGTTTTCCCATGGGTTCTTTCTGACTACAGCTCAAAGAACTTGGATCTTGCTGATCCATCTACTTACCGAGATCTATCAAAGGTGATATGAATTGAATCTTTCTTCCCTTTACCTTACATTGGCACTTCCTCTCCTGCCATTATAGCCTCATATGTATTTGCAGCCTGTTGGGGCATTGAATCCAGATCGTCTTAAGAAGTTCCAAGAGAGATATGCTAGCTTCGACGATTCAGTCATTCCAAAGTTCCATTATGGTTCACATTATTTGAGTGCAGAAGCGGTAGGTTTGCCATTATGTTTGCTGATAAGTGAAAGGTTTTTTTTTTTTCTCAGAACAGAGGACTAATTTGTTTCATGTTGAATATCATTTAACCTTTGGAGTTATATTCTAGGATGCTATATGTATTTCATCACGGCTGTGACAGCATCTTCCGAATGTATTTTCCCATGAAATATTAGTCTCTGAATAAATACCATTTTCTTCTCTTTCTGGACAGTTGAACTCTATTGCTTTTTCCCTTTTCTAAATGGGTTTTATTTGGCAAATTCCTTTGCTAAAATTTTATTCCATACCTGTGTTTTTGCTAGGTTAAATAATCTTCATCTTAGAAGTCAGCACTCAGGAGTGGCAATCTTGCTTGGGCTTTTATTAGTCCATCTGTCAAGATGCTACTTCCATGGCATTGTAACTAATAATGGCTGAATGGCTTAACTTGTGCCTGGTTTATTATTCGACATTCATTGTTTGAGTACTTTATTTATGATCTATTTGAAGCTATTTTCCAGGGTCATCAAAACAAAGAGTTAGTTCTGTCATCTAGGTCTGTGACTACAGATGCCTTATCATAAGTAACTTCTGTTTTATCTCTGTTGTGTATTCTACAGGTGCTATACTATCTTTTTAGAGTTGAACCATTTACAACTCTCTCTATTCAGCTTCAAGGTGGAAAACTTGATCATGCAGACCATTTGTTTTCAGATATTGGTGGTACTTGGAATGGGGTTCTGGAAGACATGAGTGATGTGAAGGAATTGGTAGATGTTTATTTGATCTTTAGCATGAAAATATTACTTTGTCTTATTTAAAGAACAAAGCACCACTTTATCTTATTTGACACCATGATCAATTGTCTCATCCGACTAATCTGTTTTATTACATTTTGGTTCCTTTTCACATGAGCAGATGATCATAAAAATTTTTAATATGGGATTTCGTTTTTGTGTATATCTTAGGTTCCTGAGTTGTTCTACCTTCCAGAAATCTTAACCAATGAAAATTCAATTGGCTTTGGAACAACACAGTTAGGAGGAAAGATTGGTAAGTACATGAGTACTTTAATATTCTGTTCCTTTGTCATTGTAAAAATAGGTCCGAGTTACATTAAGCTATGCTTTTCTTTTTCTGTTCACTTGTTCAACTTGTCAGATTCTGTCAAACTTCCTCCATGGGCTGAAAACCCAGTTGATTTCATTTGTAAGCATCGTTTGGCTCTTGAAAGTGAGCATGTCTCTGCACATTTGCATGAGTGGATTGATCTCATATTTGGGTGGGTTTTCTTTCCTCTCACGTCTTTTCTGATGAAAACTCTTTTACTTCATCTCATATTCTTTTCATCTTAGTAACATTGATCTCTATGAGTTGGGAATTTCATGAGGATAATTTCTTATTTGAGCACTTGCAGCAGAACTTACTGATTGACTTCAACAGGTACAAGCAACGTGGTAAAGAAGCTATATCAGCAAACAATGTTTTCTTCTACATCACCTATGAAGGAACTGTTGATATTAATAAAATCACAGATCCTGTAAGCTTTTTGAGCTATTCTGTGTTGTCTGCTCAGTTTGAATGTTATTCCTTGCTTACTTCTTATATGTGTATATGAATAAAAGGTACAACAACGTGCTACACAAGATCAGATTGCTCATTTTGGACAAACTCCATCCCAACTTCTTACTGTCCCACATATGAAAAAGATGCCCCTAGCGGAGGTTCTTCATTTGCAGGTAATTGTCTATCTCATCTCAACCTTTATGCTTTCAGCATAATACAGATTTTGTATTGCTGTTTTGAATTGTCTAATGCATCTCCTTGCTATATTGCTCCTATTCTAATCTAGCAGGTCTTGTTAAGAAGAAGTCTTAAAATGACATTTTATGGTTATCTGTCCTTCTTTTATGTGGAAATACTTCATTCTTTATTTAAGATTAATATATAGCAGTGTGGAAATCCTTTCACCATACAATGTGAATATCTATCGGAGCCAATTGGCTGAGTCTGCTCTTAAGGATTCCTGGGCACAAACAGCAATACAGTCTAACTAGTTATGGTTAACAGCACTTAATTTGATGTTAGATGATCAATGTGGGACTTGAAGTGATAATTTGACTCTGCAAAACATATAGGACAGTGACCAGTGTTTTTTAGTGACACAGACCTTTTTTTTTTTAATCAATCAAAAAGTAACCTGTAACTAATACTAATAAGCACGATTACTACAAACCATGAGAATGGCGATTTAATTGTACCAATGCTTGCTTTCAAAAAAATTGCTTCAGCTTTCCATTACGATAGTCTTTAGATAACGATTCTGATCAAGCTTTTCATGTCAGACTATCTTTCGGAACCCAACGGAAATCAAACCATATGCCATTCCAGCCCCAGAACGTTGCAATTTACCTGCAGCAGCTATTCATGCATCTTCAGATACTGTCATAATTGTTGGCACAAGTGCTCCAGCAGTGCATGTTGCCCAGCACAACTGGCAGCCAAACACCCCAGATGGCCAGGGTACACCATTTCTTTTTCAACATGGGAAGGCAACAGCAAACTCTGCCGGGGGAGCCTTGATTCGCATGTTTAAAGGACCCACTGGTTCTGGTTCTGATGAGTGGCAATTTCCCCAGGCAATAGCATTTGCTACATCTGGGATCAGAAGCTCAGCTGTAGTTGCAATCACATGCGATAGATATATCATAACTGGTTAGTGAGTAATTGACCCTTAATATAAATGTTCCTACGTAAATTCTAATTAAATTTTATTTGTCTATTAAACAACTATTCTTTCTGATCTAAACTAATCTGAAACAGGAAAGAGGTAAATCTTTTATTGCTTGCCATGGGTAAGCTGTGCTGGGTTTTCTTTTTCTTTATTTCAGCAATTGCTTAATTATACTAATACTCACCTGTTTTCAAACTTTCAACTTTTGTGTTCTTGAGGTTATCATTTTGGAAAGGCTGCAACTTTTATGCTTGTCCAGCAAAAGAGCATGTTCTTGAAAATTTGCTCTGATCTTAAAACCCTATAGAAATATTTGCTTCAGTCTCAATCACTGAATATCTCATTTTGTTTGCTTTGAATTTTAACCAGGAGGTCATGCGGATAACAGTGTCAAGCTACTGTCCTCTGATGGAGTGAAAACACTAGAAACAGCTTTTGGGCATTGTGCACCTGTCACTTGCATTGCTCTTTCATCAGATAGCAAGTACCTTGTTACAGGATCAAGGGACACTACAGTCTTACTTTGGAGGATACATAGTGCAGTTACTTCTCGCTCAAGTAGCATAACAGAGGCAACTGCAGTTCCTGGAACGCCAACCTCAACAAGTAGTAATACTTTAGCAAACATCTTGGCAGAAAAAGGCAGGAGGCACCGAATAGAAGGTCCCATACATGTCCTTCGAGGTCATCAAGGGGAAATTCTTTGTTGCTGTGTTAGTTCAGATCTAGGTATTGTGGTTTCCTGTGCCACTTCATCAGATGTTCTGTTGCATTCTATACGGAGGGGACGCTTGATCAGACGGATTGCTGGTTTGGAAGCTGATGCTGTCTGCCTTTCATCAGACGGGGTTGTAATGACCTGGAGCAAAGGGCAACATACTCTAAATACCTTCACCCTTACTGGGATTCCGATTGCCACTGTGCAACTTCCTTTCTCAGGCAGCATCAGTTGTATGGAAATTTCAGCGGATGGGAAGAGTGCTTTGATTGGGATGAACTCATGCTCAGGAAAGAATGGAAACTGGTATAATAACCGAGATTGGAATTCAAATAAGTTAGGGAGAGGTGATTTTGATCTCGAGACAGATGAAACTAGTGAAAGCAACAGATTGGATATTCCATCGCCTTCAATTTGCTTTCTAGATCTACATACTCTCAAGGTATGCAAATTTTTTGTGCCAGTTTCCATTTGGTAACCTGGGCAGATAACTGAATTTTTGTTCTCTGTATTCTATTGCTGACATGCCCAATTTTGAGAAGTTCATATATAACAGCATGCCTAATTCCCACACACACCCTCCCTTTCCATTTCTTTTTTTCCAAACTTTGCAAAGAGTATGGG